GCTCTGAGCATATATTTTCAACGATACAAAAATACATATGCACAAGTTTATTCAATGCAACATTCTTTATAGTTGTAAAATATAGAGAACACCTAGGTATCTTAGCATAGGAGCTTAGTTGAAAGGCCTATTCATATAATGGAATATTATACAGCTGTAAAAAAGAATAAGGAGATATCTATGAACTGATATGGAGGAATTTCCAGGAGATAACATTCAGTGAAAAAAGTAAAGAACAAATAAATATGTTACTTTTTGTATGAGAAAAAAGGAAAAAAATTGTTGACTATGTGAAGCATGTGAATGTTATACATATGCAAACATTAAAATTAAACCAATAAGAAAGGGAAGGAAAGAAAATCCTAAACCTGAAAGTAGAAAGAAACAAACTAAACTAATTATATTTCAAATAAATATGGTAACCACACTGAAGGGAAAAGGAAGGAAGGGAGGGAGGGGAGGAGGGAAAGAGGAAGGAAGGAAGGAAGGAAGGAAGGAAGGAAGGAAGGAAGGAAGGAAGGAAGGAAGGAAGGAAGGAAGGAAGGAAAGAAGGAAAGAAGGTAATTCATGAACACAATATTTGACCATATAGCCATATTTTTTGGCCAAAATTGAGCATGAGGGTTGAGGGAAGAAAAGTTGCAAACAAATTCTAAATTCTGCCTTTTTTCAATGAAAAAATATGGGCAAAGCAATTCTGAAATTTTAATGTTGATGGAAGTCAGGGTTCACACTGTGGAAGAAGGGACATTCAAATAAAGCATGAGAGAAAGCAAGAAAGAACTCATGTGCGTAAATTTCAATTGGAGGTATCAGTGTGAACTGATAATTTCTAAGTTATGTCTACCCATGTAATGTACATGTGCAAACATGCAGGTATATATCTATATCTATGTTAATATGTTTGCATTTGTATGTATAGTAAATGTATATTTTTGTGTACACACACACACACACAGCTATTTCTTACCTCTATCAGTTGATAGGACCAAGAATTAAAGAAAACCCAGTAGTGCCCTGGGCAGGTGGCTCAGTTGATTGGAGTGTCATTCCATACACCAAAAGGTAGGGGTTCAGTTCCCAGTCAGGGTATAACTAGGTTGCAGGTTCAGTCCAAGATCAGGGCATGTATGGGAGGCAATTGATCAATGTTTCTCTCTCACATCAATATTTCTCTCTCTCTCTCTCTCTCTCTCTCTCCTCTCTCAAATCTATAAACATATCCTTGAGTGAGGATAAAAAAAAGAAAACCCAGTAGCAATGATATTACCTAAAACCCAAATCTTTGTCTCTAAAACCATTATCCACTAAAAGAAACCAGTGCTCTTTGAAGAAATGGCTGACTAGGCAAAATATCAGCCTGGAAGTAAGAAAGTACTTTAAATAAATTATGGGTCATTTCACAAGGACCAAGGTGCTAGATGAAAAGAGTTTCAACTAGCCACATCTGGGATAATTTTAGTACCAAAGTAAGTGCAATTATGAATTACAAACCATTAAAAATGTTAAGTTTATGAGTTCATACTGATAAGAAATAGGTAAATAAATGAATAAATGAATGAGTGAAAATGGAAGGCTCTTGCTTTCAATAGAATGATGGTAGCCAACTTGTAAATGTGGAGGGAGGATAGGAGTTGGAAAATAATTATTTTGCAACCATCATAGTAAAATTACATCAAGTGAGATTCATCAATAACTGTTAAATCTAGGGGAAAGTTTTCATAAAGAGAAGAATATTTGATGGTCTTAAACTATCCAATTGGTTATTAGTTATGAGGGTAAAAAGTAGTAACTACATAGTGAGGAACTGAACACCAACTTGACAGCGTAATCAAAATCAATAGCGGTAGATGGACATTGTGTGGCTCCGTGTGATGATGCCTTGAGGAGGACACATCATCATCTATGTGGTATTTTGGTTGAATATACAACTTGAATGTTGTAGATTAAAGAAAAATAAAAAAATATATGACGAACATTCTTCTAACCAAAAAAAGAAGACTGTCCTTAAAAACAACAACAACAGACAAAGACCATGGAAATGTTTCAGATTAAAGAAGGTGTCTTAGTTCTTTGGGGCTACTATTACAAAAAATACCATAAACTGAGTATTCAAACAAGAAATATTTATTCCTCACAGTTCTGATGCCAAGAAGTCTGAGTTCAAGGAGACGGCAGACTTGGTGTCTGGGGAAGGTCATCTTTTTGGTTCATAGATGGCTGTCTTCTTGTCGTATTTTCACATAACAGAGCCTAGAAAAGTAAATTCTCTTAGGATTTTTATAAGGGCACTGATTCCATTCATGAGGCTCTACTTTCATGACCTCATCTAATCCTAATTAGCTTCTAAATTAACCAATGAATTTATATGCATAGCCCATGGACAGATAATAATGTGGGGAAGACCTGGGGAGAGGGCAGGAGCGGGGTTGTAGGGGGCCAATGGGGGGGAAACAGGGGATGTCTTTAATAGTTTCAACAATAAAGATAAATTTTAAATATATATCAATTTTGCCCTGACTGGTTAGGCTCAGTGGATAGAGCGTCGGTCTGTGGACTGAAGGGTCCCGGGTTCAATTCGGGTCAAGGGCATGTACCTTGGTTGCGGGCACATCCCCAGTAGGGAGTGTGCAGGAGGCAGCTGAATTGATGTTTCTCTCTCATCAATGTTTCTAACTCTCTATCCCTCTCCTTTTCTCTCTGTAAAAAATCAATAAAATATATTAAAAATATATATATATAAATTTTAAATTTACTGGTATTGCTGACAGTATTGAGGTTACATAAGAGAATATTTCTATACTTCAAGTATTTAAGGGTAAAAATTCATGATGTATGCAACCTACCCTCAAACAGTTCAGAAAAAAATTATATATGCACATAAAACAAATGATGAAGCCAATGAAATAAAATGTTAACAGTAGATGACTCTGGGTTGAAGGTATATATGGATATTCTTTGTACTGTGTTTCATTATTGAAACTTTTATTTGTTTAGTTATTTTCATTGGGACACCACTTTGACCAGTAACCAAAATTATCACTAGTGAGGGACAGGTGAACACTGTGCCTCCAGAGGTGACCCCCTGAAGACGCATCACCTATGCAGTGCTCTAGTCCAGCCCATGGAAGCTGAATCCAATCACAAGGAAATAGGGACACTCCAGGTAAGGAATGTCCTCTACTTACAAAGGAGGGTTATTTTTTGTGTAGCATAATATGATTTAACTTTACAAAGGGACCTCAACAGTGGCATGGAGGAATGGGAGATACTTGACCGAGAGAAGACCAGCTTTGTAAGACCAGCTTTGTAGCTACTACTTTGACAGCCCATCAGAGAGCTAATGAGAAACAGAATTAGACTGCAATGTAGGTATGGGAATTAGCCTTCAGATTTGACAATACTTTCAAAAATAAAAATGACCCAGCTTGAACACGGGTTCAATTAAGTGGAAAAGGATAGGGAGAAAGTAAAATAAGCACGGACTATTATTAGTTAGGTTTAAACGCACTTCTCTCTGCTCTGCCATGTGTGGATTCAATGAGAAGACAGCCATCTATGGACCAGGAAGATGCCCTTACCAGACACCAAATCTGCTGGCACTTGAATAGATAGACGGTGAGGCTACTTATTGAGACAGGGAATCTTGGAGATGAAGTAGAGTGAAATAAAGAAAGCTTTTGTGCGTATTATATGGGGGAAAAATACTGATCAGAATAAACATGTTCTTTATTTCAACAATAATTTAGAGGCATTGAATGCTCACTAGGTCCCAAGCATTGTGTCAGACTATGATATTAAAAAGCATCAAAATGAGACTTTTTACTGCTGAGAAAAACTAGGCTCGGAGATATTAGAAAAACTTGCCCAATATCATACAACTAATAAATGGAGGAGGCATGATTTTAACTAAAAATTATGCTTTTCCACCATGTCTTATTACATCCCAAAGAAAAATATTTAATTTTTTAAATTTAATTACAGTTGACATACAATATTATATGTCACAGGTGTACAACATATTGAGACATTTACTAGTATATACTTTATGAAGTGATCACTCCGATATGTGCAGTATAATTTCTAAATAAGAGCACCCCTTACCCCTTGCCTTTCTTCCTAAGGGATGATATTGGATTTCCATGGTCTAGATCAGGGGTGGGGAATGCCCGGCCTGAAAGCCATACCAGACCTGAGAAATCATTTAGTGTGGCCCTCCCAAGGCAACCATAGGTGGGACTCAAAATCCAATAAATCTAGGAGCTTTTTCATAGCAACATAAATTTATATTAAGTGAATTATATTAAATGAATGATCTTATAAATATCCAAATGGCCCTTGGCATAAAAAAGGTTTCCCCAACCCTGGTCCAGATGATAAAATTAAAGCTATAATCTAATCATGATTTTAACTGGGTCTGTTGGGTTTACAAATTATGGTCAACTAACTGCATATAGTCTCTAGGTAAGATTTCCTAACTTTCCCCAGAAAGTGGTAATGGTACAACAGAGGGATCCCTGAAGCCAGAAGGGGGGTTCCATCCCTGACTCTGCAGTTTACTGGCTAGAAAATGGTACCTACCAGGGATGCTGCAGGGGTTAGACGAGATAATGTATGCATAAGCACAAACAGACATAGTAGGTATGTCTATGTAACCAGATCTATGAGACCAAAGACCTCAGTGGGATGCAGTGATTCCCACTGTTTTCTCTAACACTGTCTGCAGAATGTTCCTTTCACAGTGAGGAGTTAATCAACTGCATTTGGATCCAGAATTCTAAAATACTGCAATGAATAAAGGTCTCTAAGTCCTACAGTCCTGACCCTGATGTGGTTAGTGTGTTTCAGGGACAGAGGTCTCTTGGTTGTGTCACATAGCACCATGTGACCTTATCATCGCCTTCCCCTCTTTGACCTCTGTCTCATCATCTAGAAACGAAGGCAGATGCTATACTGCCTGAATTAATGTTAATCGCAGTCTTGTTCTCAGATCACTTCTAGCTAAATCAGCTGGGCTGCTTGTTAGAACACATATTGCCCAGGTCTCACTCAGTAGCTCCCAAATTACAAGCTTGGGCAAAGGATCTAGGAATTCTTCCTTTTAACCCCTTCCCACCAAATAATTCTAATGCACACAAGTGTGAGAATCACTGAACTAAGTTCCTTTTCAGGTAAAGAATTCCAAGTAGGCCAGTGCTTTGTAAACTTTAATGCATTCCTCTGAGATCTTGTTAAAGCGCAGTGGGGCATGATCTGTATTACAGCTAGCTCTCAGGTGATGCTTCTGGACCCCGGAACACATAAAGCGAGGCTTTATGTGAAATGACACAGTCATACAGGTTGATTTACATTTTGAGATGAAAATAATATACATAATGACTCAAGGATGAGAGAAGTGCATGCATATGATTTGCCTGAGTGAAGAATTCGGTTGATTGACCGGCTTTGGGTGACTTAGGTCCTTATCATAGAGAAGACACACAGTTGACGACAGCCCACTTGGTTAAGTCCCCCACTCTGTCCTTTCCTAGACATGTGATCTGCAGAAAGTGATTTACACTTCCAGAGCCTTAGGCTCTGAATCTGCAAAATAGGGGCAATAGAATACCCACTTTGCAGAGCCGCTGCAAGCATTAATTGTGATCACATGTATAAAATTCCCAGCCTCATGCAACAATATCAGACCCTCTAGGTTTCCTGAGGACCCTTCCTAAGCCTTTACTTAATTCCCTGCATGAGGCTGCTCAACAGGACTTGTTTCTCTTCCACAGACACCACCACCTGGAGGGCAGCCGCCTCTTCACCATGAGAAAACACTTGGACTTTCTTGGGCCGCCGAGTGATTTATCACACAGCTGCTCTCCTGGACTTGGAAGGCTGACGGCAGCCCTGCCAGAGGCAGATGGGAGAGCTGCAGTCCAGTTGCTTGTCAGCGATGTTCAGAGGACACATTTATAAGGCTTTTCACACTTTCCTGGCATCCTCCACCACCAGCCAGACACCAACCAAAGGCAGCCCGCTGCACACCACATGGCAGGCAAGGGAAGCTGAGTGCACATGTGCCGGCCGAGGCCCCCAGCAGGGCTTCGTCTTTCTCTCCTGCCTCCTTTCATTACTCGTTTCTGTGTGGTTGTGGTCAACATGCCACCCGGCTTTTATGCTAAGTCCTTTTAATTTTTTTGACAGGCACTACTGCCCTTCCTCCGGAATAACTCATTAAACAAGAAATGAGTTGCAGTAATGTGGACTTAATGTGAAGAGTTTTCAGCTCTTTTTATAGTCATGTGGATGGGTGTTATCAACAAATATTTCTTCAGCAATTGCAGCATCCCAGGTGCCTGAGGGAAACAATAACCAAATCATGTGTTAAGCTTCTTGCTCAAGCTATAGGAATCAAACCCTGAAAATGATTTTCTTTTCCCCTGAGTCATCCTCAAGTTTTATTGTATATTGGAATCACCTGGAGAGATAGACAAGCATGCTGCTGCCTAAATCCCAATCCCAGAGATTCTGATTTAATGGATATGGATGCAGCTTGGGCATTGGGAATGCAGCCAAGATTGGGAATTAATAAAATCTACCCCAAATTTTTCCATAGTGTCTCAATTTTTAATCAACATTAGTTTTCAAGAACACCCTTTATAAAACCTTTTGGCCTACATAATCTATGTTAAACCTCAAAACAACCCCATGAAGCCATTATTCTGAATTTGTTATTATTTCATTTGTATATTTGTACATTAGCCTCAACTTGAGTATTTTAAAAGATGGAGCTCAGAGAGGACAAGTTATATCCTCAGATAGACAGCTGGTAAGGGCAGGGATAATCCTTGAACCTATGGATCCTGGCTCCCACTCTTTTTTAAAAAATATACTTTTATTGATTTCAGAGAGGAAGGGGGAAGGAGAGAGAGAGAGAGGAACGCCAATGATGAGAGGGAATCATTGGAATAGCTACCTCTTCATGCCCCCTACTGGGGATCAAGCCTGTAACCCAGGCATGTGCCCTTGACAGGAATTGAACCTGGGACCCTTCAGTACACAGGCTGACATTCTATCCACTGAGTCAAACTAGCTAGGGCCCATACTCTTTTAATTACTTTGTAATGCCCTCAATTCAGAGTTTGTCATTGGCACCATTTACTGGATCATAACACATCTTTACTTTAGATTGTATACTAGTAAACATTCAAAACAAACACTCTCTGATTTGATTTCCTTATTGGAAGATGTAAGTAATATTAATAAGGAAAGAAGGGTAGTGCTATTGAGAATATAGGGCCTTTCTGGTGGGATGGCCAATAGATGCACTTGGCATATATATAATGTGTTAAGTGCCAAGAGACATTCGACACATGATGCTACTTACTGGGGAAGTCAATGAATGCCGGCCGAAGGCTAGACACACGAAGCTCATCTCCAAGTACCATAAATCATCTCAAAAATAGGCCACAGCACTCTTCCTTCTGTGATGAAAGACATTCCGAGTTCTTTGGAAGGTCGCACAGATCCTTGTTTGAAGACAGAATCATCTGTTGATTTCCATAAATACAGAGATTAGTTTGAAGGGTGGTGGTTCTCCCAAGCCAGTGGGATAATACATTGATTTGGAGTCTCCATGCCCAAGTTATTTTTCACTTTACAAGAAACAATGCAAATATTAAAAAAACTATAACTTTTGGAGACATGAAATTACCATTTACCCACAACTCCTTGAGTGTTTCATGAACTCTGCCAGGAAGGAATGGAGCAGGATTGACTGATAAAACTAATTCTCAGCACTCTCTCTCTCTCTGAACCTTATCAGGGAACCTGAAGTGTAGATGTCATGCTTGTTTCTCAGGCCAGTGCCACAGCTAGTGGTAAGCTGATGGTCAAAGAATGCCTAGTGATGCATGAGTCAGCATGAGTCAGCAACTTAATGAGCTTAGGACTGCTCATGGTGTTGGTCCGGTTAGGCTTTAACAGGCATTTTTTGTTGCAGAAAAACACCATCCAATTAAACTACTGGTCATTTTGAAAACAGCTGTTTGAATTAATTCCAATATACAGTTTTCAAACATTCTATTATTCTATTCAGTTTATATATGTGAGGCTATAGCCATAAATGAAACTATGGGTACAGCTGTAAATGAAGAAGAGAGTGTGCACATTCAGCTCACAAATAGGACTGTTAGAATTACCAAAATCACTCTAAAAGCCCAAGAGTTTTGAACCTGAAAAAAATGACCATAAAAGGTACCTCTTAGCCAAACCTACCAGTTATCCATTAACTCAGGGGTCCTCAAACTACGGCCCGCGGGCCACATGCAAATACAAATATTGTATTTGTTCCTGTTTTGTTTTTTTACTTCAAAATAAGATATGTGCAGTGTGCATAGGAATTTGTTCATAGTTTTTTTTTCAACTATAGTCTGGCCCTCCAAGGGTCTGAGGGACAGTGAACTGGCCCCCTGTTTAAAAAGTTTGAGGACCTCTGCATTAACTGAATCCTTAAGTGCAATTGAAAGCTAGTTCTTTCCACAGTTTCTCACTCTCAGAACCCCTGGAAACAGGTCTCCAAATGCAGACCCTGCAAAGCCCCTTTGAGATGATGACCCTTTGGGAGAACCACCTACACAACTGTGGGGCCCAGGGCAAACTGCGGGTCTCTTTCTTTAAAAATAATTAAGAATTTAAAAATGGTGACAGTAGAGCATTAAATCAAACACAAGGTCCCGTGTCATGAAGCAGTCCCTGTCTTCAGGGCAGCAAGACTCCAATAGCGTTCTACCAGCTGCCCTTTTACTGAGTCTTTGGGAGTAAATGACACCTCACTATGTGTTGCCAATTGTTATGTAGGCAGATGGCTCCGGCTGTCCATGGGACATCTGCAGGACAGCAACAGAAGGAAAATATGCTGGAAAGTGAATGTAGCATGTCTGTCAGGAGTAACAGTGGAAGGCAGAGGTTTTGTACAGCTGTCACAGAACTCAGAAAAAGGACAGTTGGCTACTGTAGACCCTACTGAATGCCAACATTATCCAGGGGAGAGAGAGCCCTGGATGTTCTCATCCCTAAAGGAGATTATGTGGAAGCATATTTTTGAGATATTATTCCAATCTGTCTACCTACCTATACTTGAATAGATCTATACTTACCTTTTTAGTATTTCCAGCTTTCCACACCAAACCCAAGCTAACAGTTGTTTCTGTGCTCATTATGTCAGGGGAGACAGCTGCCAGAACAAAAAGATCCTAATAATCATCCTGGATTTAGGTACACAAGCCTAAGTCCCACAGAGAGGAGTGGATTCAAAGCACAGAAATTGTCTGGCCAGAACCAAGCAAGTGGGACTCCCCCAGCTGGAAATGCAGCTCTCCTGGTGTTAGAAGTGAGGGTGACGGAGGGAGAGTAAGAAGGCCAGTGTGTCCCTGACCAAGAGGACATATTCCCTACATCCCAGGAATGGCATGGGCAACAGGCTGATAGAATGAAAGGCAGGTTTGGCCCTAAGTGGGGGTAAAGGCATGTGAAAGCTCCTGTACCTCATGGGAAGCACAGAATTGTCAGCAGGCAGCTTGCTAGAAGGGACGGAGGATATCTCACTGGCAACCTAGGCAGCCTGATGATAGAGGATCAATGACCATGTGGTGTGAAATGTGACCCTCCCCTCCCCACCCATTCTAACACACATTGCTTTGCATAGGATTTCAGAAACCACTGGGACGAGAGGAAAATAAGAAAATGACTGAAGTTAGGTTTCCTAGTGGCTTGGTGAGAGGGAGATTGAGAACAGAAATTAAATTAAAAAAAGAGTGAGTTTTCTCGTACACCTGTGTTTTTAGACTGGGGTTCATTCTAACTACTCTGTGATCATACTATTTCCCAAGCTCAGTAGGTTCCCATTGCTTTGACGCTGCTCTCCCTGACGCTTTTTACTCTTTAATTTGGTTTTCAGTTTAGACTTTCCCAGCCGAAAGAACATGTTTGGACCGCCATGAATATTGTATTTCTCTTGGCAACAAAAGCCCTCAGTATAAATGAACAAAATTGACATTGTTCTGATTTATAAATTTGTCAGTCTCTTGTGAGTTTGGTTAACATGGCTCAGTTCCCTGGGACCCGGCCACATGGATATGCTGTACTGTCTTGATGGAATTTATGAATTTGCAAAATAGAGGGCCATGACTCTGCTAAGATGCAAATGCCCTGTGAAGACCCATGACTGAAAAGGCCCTGACCTCTCTCTACTGGTATTTCCTGTTGAGAAATAATAGCATCACAATTATAAAGGAATTTATTTTAAAGCTATATTAGTATAATGTAGTAGTCAAGAGTGCAGCCTCTGGAATCAGACTGCCTGGGCTTATCAAATTTTGGCTTTGCCACTTGTACAAACTGGGATTTAGCAGGTTCAAAGAAATCTAATAGGGACTGTTGTAAGAAATAAAGGCATTAATACACGTAAGACATTTTGATCAATGCTTAGCATCTGTTAAGTGCTATATAAGTGCTAATTACTGTTTCTAGCTTTATTGTTGTTATTATTTTAGTTGTTCCCTTCCAGCCTATGTTCCAGTGCATGGATATCATTTCCTGTTGCACATAATTTACATTCTTCCTTTTGATCGAACACTGTGCCATACATACTTTATGTATTTCTATGGAGGCTTTAATTACTTGTAATAATATAATTGAATTCACTAAACAGTTGAGCATTTATCTTCAAATGACTATGCTATGTGTCAGGGATATCAAAAATAACTACAATTTAGAAAAATTGGCAAAGGTGATAAACAGGTAACACACCAAGAAAGAAACATAACAAGCCAAAAGAGAGGCTTATCCTAACAAAAAGTGAGGGAATACAAATTAAAGTGGTTGTTACTATTTTTACCTGGCAGATTGGCAACAATAAGAAGTTTGACAATAACCACTTTAGGGCAATAGGTACTCCCCTCTCCTACTGGCCAAGTGTAAGCGCCGTCAGCCATTTGACTATTTAAAGTTCGCAGACCTTCTACACCCAACCATTTCACTCTTCCATATCTGCCCTCAAAAAAAAAAAAAAATACTTGCTGTGTGCTTCAGGAGACAGAAACAAGAACGTTCACTGTACCATTTATAACCGTGAAAAGTGAAGATCATGTCACTGCTCGCAATACTGGGAACAGTTAAATAAAAGGTGATATACTCACTCAAAAAGAATGTTCTATCTGTCAATACTGAACTGAACGCTTCCAAGGCTTGTTGCTAAGTAAACAAGCAAACAAACACTTTGTTAAGAAGTTGCAGAAAAGCAAGTACAAGGAGATAGCATTTTTAAAACACACCCCCTAAATAAAATATATAGTTCTAAAATGTGTATGTGTAAGTATATATGTGTGTATATGCATATATAAGTAAGTGTGTGTGTGTGAATATATTGAAAAATGTCTGGGAGAGTCCACACCAAACTGTTAACAGTGGCCACCTTTAGGCAGAAAACTAAGAGTGGTCAAGGGAGACTTTAGCTTTTTCTGTATTTTTAAATGTTTTTAAGTGTTCTTTATATAAATAAGAATAAACTTTTAAAAATTAAAAGATGAATAAAACAAGGTTCTTGAATCCCAAAGTTAGTATTCTATTGAGTAGTTGTATAACAATTTATTTAGCCATTGACCTATATTTGGCAGTTTAGGTTATTTCCATTCTTTTATATTATAGATCTTTTATAGATCTTTATACTCTGCAGCTTCTTTTTCTTCTGTTGATTTATTTCTCTAGGATAAATTCCAAGAGTGGGATTACTGGATAAAATAGTATAAACATCTTTCTGGCTTGTGATATATTTTTCCACATCGCTTTCCAAAAATGCCGTGCTTCTCTTTCCCCATCATTACTACAAAAAAATGAGCGAGCTCTTTCTTCTACCACCTGGCACCAATCTACTCTTCCCTTGCCATCTCCTCGTTCTCAGGAATGGATACTTTTTGCTTCAGTTTTCAACCTGTTTTGGAATTGGCATCTCGTCAAGGACTGTCAGCTCATCATCTTTCTCCTATTCCTAGTTCTGTATATTCCTGAAAGAGAGACATGCTTAACATTCTCATTTTACAGATGAGAACACTGAGGCTCACAGAGGTTGAGTAACTTGCCTCGCTAACAAGTGGTAGATCCGTACTTTTAAAATCATGTCGCTGTCCTCTCTCTGTATCTGGATGTGGTTCTCCACCAGTTTGGTGTGAATAGAGTTGGTCTGAATCCAAACACCTTTTGCTTACACGTAGGGTCCACGTAGGGTCATGGCTTTCCTGCTCCATCAGGTCCCTTGGTACCAGCCCATGTTTGTATCTTCACTACCTTTCTGCCTGTGCCCCTCTTGTTGGCCTCATTCTCAGATTGTCAATTTGAGTTGCACATCCTTAAATTCCTATCTGTTTCATCAACTTTAACTGAAGTAGATGAAAGTTAGAGCAGTGCTTCTCATCCTTGGGGAACTTAAAACAAAGTGAACCAAACAAGCTGCGGCCTGGACTGTCCGTGCCTGGAAATCCAGGTTCCTTGATCTGGACTATAGTCTGGGCCTGGGCCTGGAATTTTTTTCAATGTTCCCTGGGAACTTTGAGGTAAGAACCTCTGCCCTAGATGCCATTCTTGGTCCCCCTCCCCACTACCCCAAGTTTAGGTAGCAACATGGCTGGGTTTTGTTTGTTTTGTAATAACTGCACTGTCTCTCTTGGCTATTACCACCACTCACAGTCATTTACCTGTCTGCCTTGCTGTCCTTCTGCCTGTCCTGCTCTGTCTCTTTGTGTCCTTCTCTGTCCTTGCTGTTCTTACCTTAGAGCCCTTGCCCTTGT